AGTGCTGGGATTAAAGGCATGTGCCACCACTGCCTGCCTTTATCTATCTATCTATCATCTATCTATCTATCTATCTATCTATCTATCTATCTATCTATCTATCTATCATCTATCTATCTATCCATTCATTCATTCATTTTTAATTTTTATTTATTTATTTTGGTTTTTTGAGATAGGGTTTCTTGGTGTAGCTTTGCGCCTTTCCTGGAACTCACTCTGTAGACCAGGCTGGCCTTGAACTCACAAAGATCCTACTGCCTCTGCCTCCCAAGTGCTGGGATTAAAGGCGTGCACCATCACCGCCTGGCTATTTTTTTAATTTTTAAATTTTACTTGTGTGTGTATGATATGTACATGTCAATATGGATATGTGTTGTATGATATTTTGTTTGTGTTTCTGACAAATAAAACTTGCCTGGAGATCAGAGGGCCAAGTTAGCCATTAGTTAACCATAGAGGCCAGGGAGTGGTGGCATATAATCCCAGAGTTTGGGAGGCTCACGCCTTTAATCCCAGCACTAGGGAGGTGGAGACAGGCTCTCAGTCCCTTTTGGTCAGAGGATCTGGAGAGGTAAGAAGTAACTGTGGCTGCTCCTTTGCTTCTCTGATCTTTCTGCTTTACCCCAATATCTGATTCCTGGTTTTTATTGATAAGACTAATTAGGATTACACCTCAGATGTGTGCATGCACACATGCATGTATATGTGAGGCAAGTGGTTGATGTTGGGCGCCCTCTTTTCTCTCTACCTTATCTTTGAGACAGGGTCTCTTACCGAACCTGGAGCTCATTGATTTGGCTAGGCTGGATGGCTGATGAACTCGGAGGATCTGATTTCATTTGCTCCCCACACCTGACGTTGGGCATTGAACACCTGGGTGTTGGGGATTGAAACCCAAGCTTCTGTGGCAGAGACTGACTGAGCCATCTTCCCGGCCTCATTCCTACAAAACTCCCAGGGGAATACACACGTTGTTGCCCGGCAGTTGTTTGGTTAAACTTCAAGCCCCTACCTCTGTGTCTACCGTTATACCTCTCTTTCACAGCTTCTCTCCCAAAATACAAACTACTGGCTAGTAATTCTGCAGCACGGGCATAGGGCAATGACTCAGTCAGTAGAAGCCCTTGCCTTGCAAGTGTGAGGACCTGAATTGATCCCAGAGACCATGTCAAAAGCCAGGCATGATGGCAGCACCTGTAACCCCAGCAATGATGAGATGAACGGCAGAGACAGTTGAGTCCCTGGAAACTTGTCTGGCCTACATGGCAAAGACACACACAGGGACACACACACACAGGGACAAACACACACACACACACACACACACACACACACACACACACGGGGGGGGGGGGGGGGAGGTGAGGAGCATCCTCTGGGTTCTGAGACTTCCCCAGGAACTCTTACACACCGTGTGGAAATGCATAGGTCTCTCGGTGTATAGCTTTGACTCTAGTCCTTTTCCTCTTGCTGACTAAAGCATTTTAGAAGACAAGTTAAAGTCAAGAGATAATGAGAATAACCTCAAACATTTTCACACTTTCAAAACAAATGTGTAAATCACCAGGATAGTCTTAGTCAATGTTTCTTTGCTGTGAAGAGGCACCATGACCATGGCATCTCTTATAAAGGAAAACATTTCATTGGGGCTGGCTTACAGTTCAGAGGTTCAGTACATTATCAACATAGCAGGAAGCATGGTGGCGTGCAGGCAGACATGGTCCTGGAGAGGTAGCTGAGAGTTCTACATCCGGATCCACCGGCAGCAGGCAGAGAGAGATACTGGGCCTGGCTTGAGCATTTGAAACCCCAAAGCCCACCCCCAGTGACACACTTCCTCCACCAAGACCACACCTCCTAATCCTTGTCAAGTAGAGCCACTCCCTAATGACCAAGCATTCAAATCTACGAGCCTATGGGGCCATTGCTACTCACACCACCACAGAACATTTGCCATATTTCAAACAGCCAAGAGAAATGAGACGGAGAGCTACTGGGTTGGGCTCTGCACTGACTGAGTGAGGAAGCTTTGTAAAATTAAAGGAAAAGGAAATTCCCAAGGTGTAACTTCTATAAGTCCCAAGAGGTGACCGACACTGTGACCTGGAAATGTCATGCAGTCAGTTCCTGGGGAGCAACACTCCAGCAACTAAGCCAGGAAGTCAATTGATTGCCAAAAGTGATGGAGCTGACCTCCATCCCATCCACTTAGGAAGTATCAGAGCTGTGTCCTGAAGCAGACAGAGCAAGGCAGCCTCTTAGTCATAGAGAAAAATGACTGGTGCTTATAGATCCAACCCTGCCTTGGCAATATGACTGAATAGAAACATGTGTTTTAGACAGGGTCTTACTATGTAGCCCAGGCTGTCTAAATTCACAGGGAGCCACTTGCTTCTGCCTCTCAAGTGATGAAAGCCAACACATTCTGCTTGATTAGAAACTTGATCTAAATTAAAACAACAATAACTTACCAGGATACACATATTAGAATGGCCAAAATGCAAAACACTGGCAACATCAAAGGCTGGTGAGGGTGTGCTGTTTGGGTGCAGGGTAGCCAGACACTTTGAAAGGAAGCTTGGCAGCTTCTCCCTTCTTGTGTCATTTTTTATTGTATGTGTGTGTTGTCGAGAGAATGTTTGGGTGTGCTAGACTGCATGCGTGTGTGTGTGTGTGTGTGTGTGTGTGTGTGTGTGTGTGTGTGCCTGAGATTAACTTGGGGTATCTTCATTTCTAGCTCTCCACCATATTTTTTTTTGAGTCGGGGTCTCTGGTTGAACCCAAATTCACCATTTTGGCTAGACTGTCTGGTCAGTAAACCCCACGGGATTCCATCTTTGCTACCAGTGCTGGGGTGACAGAAGCATCCAGCTTTTTATGAAGGTGCTGGGGGTGCAAACTCAGTCTTCTTGCTTGCACAGAGCCTCCCCCACAGAGCCTCCTCCTCAGCCCTTCTTGGTGACTCCTTACAAAACTAAGCATGAGACCATGCTGATGTTGCTTGTATTTATTCCAAGGAACTTAGAGCTTCATGCTAACCTGCATATGGGCGTCCCAGCAGTGTGCAGCATTGGAAGAAATGTTGGCTTTCAGTAGGTGATTGGGCAAATTGTCACGTCTAGCCCTCAGTCTCATCCCCACTCCTGCAACAGAGCACCTGCCGTAGCCTTCCCTGCCCCCATCTACTGTGGATTCCGCAGATGTTCCCCTCTTAGCCACTCTCCCCATACTCATTGCTTGTTGCTTTATCCCAGTCCCCAGCTCCAGCAGGCACCCCCTGCTAACCCAAGATCTACACCTGCCAGGAAAGCAGATGGGCTGATGGCAGATCTCCTCTCCTTCTGCTCCTCCAGTCCCAACGCCCCCAGTTTCATCCTCAGCTCCATAGCAGAACACCTGCTGTGGTCTCCCTTTCCTCTCTGACACCATCCCCAATGGATCACAAAGATCCTTTCCTCCACCCTTCCTTCCTCCATCTCATCTCAGTATCACAGCCTCCAACCCCGGCAGGCATTCTCTGTGAACACACCAGCTGAGCAGGCCTGGGAACCAGGAAAGCTAACTGAAGACCTTGCACTCTTTCCTCTCCTCCAAACCCAGTCTCATCCTTACCTCTGCAATGGAACACCAGCTGCAGCCTCCCTCCCCTCTCTGGCCACATCTCCTGTGGATCCCACAGACCTTTTCCCTCTACCTGCCCTTCCCCCCCATACTGCTTTATTCCAGCTCCCAACTCCAGCAGGCACTCTTTGCTAACCCACAGGCCACCTCTGCCATGGAATCAGGTAGGCTATCTATAGATATTCCCCTCTCCTTCTGTTCCTCCAACCCCCAAGACTCATCCTCAGTGCTGTAGCAGACCCTCTGGGGTGACCTCCTTCACTGTCTCCCCCATTCCAAGGAGACAAACTAAATAGATCCGGCTTGAACACTCTGCTCCTCTCCCTCCTGTGAACCCCATCAGCCCCGTAGCCTATCCTCATTCCTAAGTGTCAGCTCTCAATACCCAGAAATACATTTTACCTGGAACTCCCAGTGACCACAACTATCAGGTCCAAGGAAAATTTCCTACCAGGCAACAAACAGGGAACACACTCTCTGAAAATCCAGAGAGAAAATCCAAGGAGCAAAACACCCACTCAACAAAGACAAATCCAGAAGTTAGCACCTTGACCTATAATCATCCCAACCCCAGATGCCTAGATACCAGAGTGAAAATGCAACCATTAGCAGCCAGGGCAATGTGTCTCTACTAGAGCCCAGCAATCCTGCCACAGCAGCCTCTATGTATTCCAACAAAGCTGAAGAACAAGAAAAAGACCTTAAAACAGACTACATGAAGATGATAGAGGCTCTTACAGAGGAAATGAGTACATCTCTTAAATCCAGGAAAACATAAACAAGCAGTGTAAGGAAATGAATAAAACTGTTCAAGACCTAAAAATGGAAAGAGAATCAATAAAGAAACACAAACTGAGGGAATCCTGGAAATAAAAAATTTAGGAATTTGAACAGGTACTACAGTAGCAAACTTCACCAACAGAATATAAGAGATGCAAGAGAGAATCTCAGGAGTTGAAGGTATGACAGAAGAAATGGATACATTGGTCAAAGAAAATGTTAAATCTAAAAAACTCCTGACACAAAACATCTAGGAAATCTGGGACACTATGAAAAGACCAAATTCAAGAATAACAGAAGTAGGGGAAAGAGAAAAATCCCTGTTCAAAGGCCCAGAAAATATTTTAAACAAAATCATAGAAGAAAGATTTCCTGACCTAAAGAAGAACATGCCTATAAAGGTAAAAGAAGCTTCCAGAACATAAAAAGATTGGACCAGAAAACAAAGTCCCCTCGCCACATAACCATCAAAACACTAAATATACAGAACAAAGAACGAATATTTTAAAAGATGCAAAGGAAAAAGACCAAGGAACATATAAAGGCAGATCTATTAGAATTACATCTGACTTCTCAATGGAGACTCTAGAAACCAAATGTGCTGCAGATTCTAAGAGACCACAGATGCCAGACCAGATGTATAGCATTACGTGCCTAAAACAAAACAAAACAAAACAAAAAACTAGAAAGATCTCATTCTAGCAACTTAAGAGCACACCCAAAAGCTCTAGATCAAAAAGAAGTAATCACACCCAAGAAGAGTAGATGGCAAGAAATAATCAAACTCAGGTCTGAAATCAACAAAATAAAAACAAAAAGAGCAATACAAAGAATCAATGAAATTTCAGTCAATGAAAGAGTTGGTTTATAGCTGTTTTTTTTTCTTTTTACTCTTTGGGGGCCTGTCACCCAGCCCCCAAATAAATACATAGATACTTATTCTTACTTATAAATGCTCACCTTAACTTGGCTTGTTTCTAGCCAGCTTTTCTAACTTAAATTATCATGTTTCTCTTTAACTACATTTTATCTCTGGGCTTTTTACCTTTGTTTATTCTATATGTCTTTCTTTCCTTCTTACTCCATGGCTGGCTGTGTGACTGTGTCACTGGCCCCTGGTGTCCTTTCTCCTTTTTTTCTCCCTCCTCCCTCCTTTTATAGACTTCTCCTCCAATTTATTCTCTCTGCATGCCAGCCCTCCCTATCCCTCTCCTGCCTAGCTATTGGACATTCAGCTCTTTATTAGATCAATTGGGTATTGTAGACAGGCAAAGTAACACAACTTCACAGAGTTAAAAAAATGCAACATAAAGAATGCAACAATCTTTGCATAATTAAACAAATATTCCACAGCATAAATGAATGTAACACATCTTAAACTAATATTCCACAACATTTGTTCTTTGAGAAAATCAACATGATAGATAGAAAATCAACAAGATAGTTTGGATAGATCCTTATCCAAACTAACTAAAAAGTCGAGAGAGAATAACCAAATTAACAAACTTAGAACAAAAAAGGGGGCATAACAACAGACACTGAATAAGTCCAGAGAAACATAAATATGCACTTTAAAAACCTGTACACAATGAAATTGGAAAATATAAAAGAAATAATAATTTTCTCAATAGTTACCACTTACCAAAGTTAAGCCATGATCACACAAACAATATAAATGGATCTATAATCCCTAGTGAAATAAGACAGTCATCAAAAATCTCCCAAATCAAAATTGAGATGGTTTTAGTGCAGAATTCTATCAGACTTTCAAAGAAGAGTTAACAACAACATTTCTCAAATTATTCCACAAAATAGAAACAGAAAAAAACATGGCCAAATTCATTTTATGAGGCCACAGTTATCCTGATACTCAAACCACATAAAGACTCAACAAAAAAAAAAAAAGAATTACAGACCAGTTTCCCTTATGAACACAGATGCAAAAATACCCAACAAAATATTTGCAAACTGAATCTAAAAATACAGCAAAAAGATCATGAACAAGTAATCTTCATTATAGAGACATAGGGATGATTCAATATATGGAAATCAATAACTGTAATCCACCATATACACAAACTGAAAGAAAAAACCCACATGATCATTAGATGCAGAAAAAGCCTTTGACAAAATCCAACACCCCTTCATGATAAAAGTCCTGGAGAGATCAGGGATACAAGGGATATACTTAAACACAATAAAGGCAATTTACAGCAAGCATACAGCCAACATTAAATTAAATGGAGAAAAACTCAAACCAATTCCACTAAAGTCAGGAATAAGACAAGGTTGTCCACTCTCCCATACATAATCAAAGTGTACTTGAAGTCTTAGCTAGAGCAATAAGACAACTGAGGGAGATCAAGGGGATACAAATTGGAAAGGAAGAAATCAAACTATCATTATTTGCAGACAATGTGATAGTATACATAATTGACCCTAAAAATCCCCCCCCCAACTTCTACAGCTGATAAACACTTTTAGAGTAGATGAATACAAAATTAACTCACAAATATTAGTAGCCCTCTCATGTACAAATGACAAATGGACTGAGAAAGAAACCAGGGAAACAACATCTTTCCCAATAGCCTCAAATCATATCAAATATCTTGCAGTATACTAACCAAGCAAGTGAAAGACCTGTATGATAAAAACTTCAAGTCTTTGAAGAAATAAATTGAAGATGTCAGAAGATGGATAGATCTCCCATGTTCATGGATCGGTAGAGTTAACAGAGTAAAAATGGTCATCCTACCAAAAGCAATCCCCATCAAAATCCCAACACTTCTTCACGGACCTTGAAAGGACAATTCTCAGCTTCATATGGAAAAATAAAAAACCTAGGATAAGCTAAAATAATCCTGAAAAACAAAAGAACTGCTGAAGATCTCACCATTCCAGATTTCAAGTTTTACTACAGAGCTATAGTTATAAAAACTGCATGGTATTGGCATAAAAACTGACAGGTTGATCAATGGAATTAAATTGAAGATCCAGACATAAATAAATCCAGACACTTATGGACACCTGATTTTTGATAAAGAAGCCAGAAAGACACACTGGAAAAAGACAACATCTTCAACAAATAGTGCTGGTCAAACTGGATGTCTGCACATAGAAGAACATATATAAATCCATATCTATCACCCTGTACAAAATTCAATTCCAAATTGATCAAAGGCCTTGACATAAAACCAGATACACTGAACCGGATAGAAGAGAAAGTGGGGAACAGCCTTGAACACATTGGCACAGGCTACAAATTCCTGAATAGAACACAAGTAGTATAGACACTAAGATTGGTAATTAATTAATGGGACCCCCTGAAACTGAAAAGCTTCTGAAAGGTAAAGGACACAGTCAATAGGACAAAATGGCAGCCTAGAGAATGGGAAATGCTTTTTACCAACTCCACTCCATGGAGGGCTAATGCACAAAATATATAAAGAACTCAAGGAACTAAATATAAAAAACTCCAAATAATCCAATAAAAATGGGGTACATATCTACAGAGAGAATTCTCAGTAGAGGAAACTCAAATGGTTGAAAAACAAAGAAATGTTCAACATCATTAGTCATCAGGGAAATGCAAATTAAAACTACTTTGAGATCCCCATCTTACACCTATCAGAATGGCGAAGATAAAAACCGCTAATGACAGCCTATGTTGGAGAGGATGTGGAATAAGGGGAACACTCATCTGTTGCTGGTGGGAGTACAAACTTGTATAGCCACTAAGGGAATTAGTATGGTGGTTTCTCAGGAAGATGGGAATTAATCTATCTCATGATCCAGCTTTACCACTCTTGGGCATATACTCAGAGGACATTTCATCCTACCACAGAGACTCTTGCCCAACCATGTTACATTGCTGCTCTATTCACAGAAGTGAGAAACTAGAAACAACCTCGATGTTCCTTAAGAGAAGAATGGATAAAAAATGTGATATATTTCTACAATGGAGATTTACTCAGCTGTTAAAAAGAATGACATAAAATTTGTAGGCAAATGGTTAGAACTAGAAAAAAAATCCTGAGTAACTCAGACCTAGAAAGACAAATATGGTATGCACTATTTATAAGTGAACATTAGCTGTTAAGTAAGTGACAACCAATCTACAATCCCTAGACCAAGAGAGGTTAGGTGTAGAGGCAGGGACTAGAGTAACATGTGGATCTCCTTGGGAGAGGGAAGTAGAACAGATTTTATAGATGGACTGGGGGATGAGTGGGGGACAGGAATGGGAGGATCAGGTTGGGAGAGGGGAAGTAGGGTTGAGGGAGGGAATTTGGGGAAAGACAGAATTGAGGGTCATTTGAGGGATGTCATGGAAACCTAGTGCAATGGAAACTTGCTAAAATATATGAAGGTGATACCAATGTGGTCTTCTAATAATGGGGGGTATGGAGTCCCAGATGGCCATGTCTTGTCACCAAACGAGACTTCAGTAGCAGGACTTGGCTGCATTCAATTGAGTTGTTGGCCTAGGGGGTCCCATGGAAATCCCCAAACAACCCAGGCTGTTGCTAAGACAATGAGTCACTGACAGTGGGGACCCCATTGCCGAGGACAACACCCACACCACTCATTGAACATGGAGAAGCACAGCTGGAGCCTACATGGACCCTTCACCCATGCATTCTAGTATCTTTGGTGTGGGATGCAGGCTATCAAAAGAGAAATGTAGACACCAACCCAGTCACAACCTTTGGCCTATAAATCTGTCCTGTCTGCAAGATAAGTGAGGGCCTTGGTGGCACAGAATCTGTGGGAGTGGCCAACCAACATCTGATGTGACTTAAGGCCTACTCCATTAGATGGAACCTATACCAGACACTGCTCAGGTGACCAAGAACAAGAGACTAGACAGCCCAGAGACCTAGGGTAAAACCAAACACTACAGGTTCAAGAAAAAAATACCAATAAAATGTCCTAATGATATTCTGCTATACTCACAGATCAGCGCCTTATCCAGTCATCTCTGAGAAGCTTCCTCCTGAAGCAGCTGGAAACAGATGCAGAGACCCACAGTCAGACATTACATACATTCACATGCTCTAAATAGGATGTCTCCATCAAATTCCACCCCTTAGAGCTCAGGGAATCTCACAGAAGAGGAGGCAGAAAAGGTGTAAGAGCCAGAGGGGATGGAGGACGCAGGAGAACAGGCCCTCTGAATCAGCCAAGCAAGGTGCCTATGATCTCACAGAGACTGAAGCAGCTAGCACAGGGCTGATGTGGGCCTGCACCAGGTATGTATTATATATATTATAGCTATTCTGGGTATACATTAGAGCTATTAGCTTAGTATTTTTATGGGACTCTTGAGTGTGAGAACGAGTGTGTCTCTGATTCTTGTATCTGCTCTTGGGGCTCTTTTCTTATGTTGGGCTTCCTTGTCCAGCCTTGATGGTTTTTGTTGTATCTTATATTTTATTTTGTCCTGTTTGGTTGTTCTCTCTTAGAAGCCTGCTCTTTTCTAATGAGAGATAGAAAGGGAGTGGATCCAGAGTGGGAGGAAAAGTGGAGAAGAGATGGACGAAGTAGAGGGAGGGGAAACTATAATCAGGATACATTGTATGAGAAAAGAATCTATTTTCAACAAAAGGGGTGAAGTTATCATGTCTAGGTCATGGGGTATTATTCAGTGCTCATCGGAAATGAGCTATCAAGGCATGAAAATGACATTCTTAGGTGGGAAAATAACTGTCTGAACAGACTACATGCTGTATGATTGCAGATGTGTTATGTTCTAAAAGAGACAAAAATTGTGTCTGAAAATGGTTAAAAGCATGAATAATGGCTGCCAGATCTGGGAGTCATGGTGATGGTAGTGGTGAACAGACAGAACACAGAGGGACTTTCAGGGCATCAGAATTCTTCTGCGTGATACAGAGAGTGAATGCATATAATAGCCATTTGTCAGAACCGGCATTCTTGAGCATGTTGTTAGTGGTCATGCTTCTTCAGACATCTTTATGTTAAAAATGATGGGTGAGGGCTGGAGAGATGGCTCAGGGGATAAGAGCACTGACTGCTCTTCCAGATGACCTGAGTTCAATTCCAAGCAACGACGTGGTCACAAAAAACCATCCATAATGAGATCTGGTGCCCTCCTCTGGCCTGCAGGCATACATGCAGGCAGAACACTGTATACATAAAAAATAAGTAAATCCTTAAAAAAAAAAAAAAAAAAAAAAAAAAAAAAAAAAAAAAAGCCGGGCAGTGGTGGTGCATGACTTTAATCCCAGCACTCAGGAGGCAGGGGCAGGCAGATCTCAGTGAGTTCGAGGCCAGCCTAATCTACAGAGTGAGTTCCAGGACAGGCACCAAAACTTCACAGAGAAACCAAACCAGTCTCGAAAAACAAAAAACAAAACCAAAACCAAAGCCAAAAACAAAAACAAACAAACAAAAAAAGATAGGAGAAAGTGTCTTTGGGTAGAGGATTTTCTCTTATAATGAGCAGAGTCTATTCTGTGTCATCTGCCATTGTTTGTGGGATCTCAGTTGGGCTTCTAGGCCTTATCTGAGACAAAAGCAACCAGAGGCAGGCTTACAGGGCTGCAGCTTTATGCTGTAAGTGATCATCCTCGAAAATATCATCCTACTGGCCAACTCCAGGACACACACATACATGCACACAATCTGGGCTAGGCAAAGGAAACACACTGCCCTCTCATTGTGTTTTGGCAAGGTTCACCTAGCGCTGCAACTTGTCAGTCACACTGGGGAAGGAACGGCCCATTTGGGTGTCTGGCCATTATCCCATAATTGAGCACGGAATAGTAAGTGATTATTACCAGAGCAGCGTCTGGTACCTGGCCCTGGCTCAGGCCTTAGCTTGGGTGTAATCCGATAAGCAAGACCATCCTTCCTTCTCTCTCGTGTGTATGCTGGTATACATGAGTGTTTGTGTCTGTGTGTGAGTGCACATGTACATGTGACCGCAGAGGTCAACCTCAGGAGCTCTCCACCCTGATTTTTAAGACAGGGTCTCTCACTGGCCAGGAACTTGTCCCTTAGGCTATGCTGACTGGCCAGAAAATCCTAAGGACCTGCATGTCCCCACTCCTCAGTGCTAGAATTGCAAGTGCAGGTCATCACATCCACAGGCTCTGCGGATCACGCTCAGGCCCTTTGTCTGGGTGGAAAGCACCCTACTGACTGCGCTCTCTCTCAGCGCCTTTCCTTCTGTTTCCTAAGATGGGCTCTTGCTGTGTCAGCGTGCCCTGGAGCTGCAATCCACCTCCCTCATCTCACTGAGTGCGAAGATTGAGCATCCATTACAGTACCTGGCAAGCCAGTGGGAGCAGAGAAGGGGGAGCAGAGTGTGGCAGGTGCCCAAGGGAGCCATTTACCGTAAGACACCTGACAGCTTCTTTCTTGCCTGTTCTCCGTTCGTGGCCATGCATCAGGTTTGTCCTAAAATAATGAAATCCTCCTGTGGTGGATAGCTCTTTTATGAGATGAAAATTGTCGAAAGAGAAAAATCTTCATTGTTTTGCAAAAAATTCTTAAAACAACCACCTAAAAACTGTTGACTTCCTGTGTGCCTATTTTTCAAAGGAAAATGAAATATCTTTTTTAAATTACCTTTTGTACAAAAGACAGTAAAAATTTACAGGTTTTTTTGTTTATTTTTTTTTTTTTTACTAGAAGGAATTTTTAACAAGCTGAGAAAAGGCCTGTCATGTTTAAAGACATTTTATTTTATATTAAAACTGGGCTGAAAAGAGGTGTGTTTCAGTGATTCTAGAATGTCGTGTTTGGATTTTAGAGCCTGTCCATCTTCCAGACGACATCACTGAAAGTCCACTTGAACAGAGCAAACTAAAAGATGGAAACATTCGATAAGAATGGACAGTCACTGAGTTTTTAAGTCATTTCCTAGAGACAGTTTTTGAGATAGGACTGCACTATCTTCTGGGTAGAGTTTTTTTTTTTTTTTAAGTGTCTTAATTTATTTATTGAACAAATACAAGTGTCAACCTTGTACAAAGCACGATTCTACATATTTGAGAATCCTATCACTGAACAAAATAAATTTTAAGAAATGCTTCTCTTATTATAGGAGGTAGACAGAAAACACACAACATACAGACTCTTTTTTTTTAAACATAAAAACAGGTTATAATTCAAAAGACCAAGGTTATTTGAAACTGGAAAATATTCTCTGCAGAAAGTAGTAAAAATGATAAAATTTCCCAATAATCCCTTTTAAGCCAAATAATAGCTAAATTATACATATAAATATTGATTAGATTCTGGGACACAGAAGAAACCTATCTTTTATCTGTTCAGAGAGCTGTGTTTTACTTAAGTTGTGTAAGGAAAGCACCAAGCTTTTTTTTTTCCCCCAGAGACAAGATTTCTCTGTGTAGTTTTGGTGCCTGGCCTGGATCTTGCTCTGTAGCCCAGGCTGGCCTTGAACTCACAGACATCTGCCTGCCTCTGCCTCCCGAGGGCTGGGATTAAAGGCATGTGCCACCGTTGCCTGGCCAGGACCAAGCTTTTTAAAAAAATAATTATGAGTGAGTGTGTATGTGTGCATTTTTTGAGTGTTTGAGTGTATATGAGTGTGTGATTATGTGTGTAGGTCAGAGGACAATCCTCTATCCTCTTGGGTTCCAGGGATTAGACTTCGGTGGTCTGGCTTGCATGGCAAGTGTTTTCCTCCCCTGAATTATCTTGTCCAGGGCCAAGATTTTGCTTCCTGGTTTGATGTAAGAGTAGGCTGAGTAGAGGCTCACGTTAACTGTCTTCTTGTCCTACATGGCTAGACCTGGACCAGTCCAGCACCTTCCTGAAAGGCGTCTGTTCCTCTGAGCCTGTACTAGTGTTCTTACGTGTTCATAAAATAATAATTTCTTTCTTACTTTTTATTCTCTCTCTCTCTCTCTCTCTCTCTCTCTCTCTCTCTCTCTCTCTCTCTCTCTCACACACACACACACACACACACACACACACACAGGAAGTACACACAGTGCAATAAAAATGTTCCTTCTTCTTCCTTTCCTATTTACTTTCATTTCCTCTTTGAAACATCTCGTCTCTGTATTTTTCCTGCAAATGGGTAGAATTTCAGCAATATCATGGTCTAAATGGGCCTTTGGGGCTGAATCAGGACGCTTTATCACCTAGAAATTATTTCTGTGAGAAAACATTCTCTGATTCTAAACAAACTGGAACACGATCTTTTTATACACCAGACATGGCTGGTTTGGGGCAAGTTAAGAGCACAAATTAGAAGGAAAATGGGCTAAATTTAAACCTTGGCTGTTTTCAGCAGGCTGGCTGTTAAGATCAACCACATGAGTCTATTTAATGGGTAATTGGGATTTATTAAGATATAAATTGTGGAAATACACTCACAAACACAGAACCAACTAAACAGCTGAAGTTGTCCTCTGTTCTGACCAGGACTGAATTCACTTGGCAGCTTGATCACACCAGCAAGCAGAAAGAAGGGACCTTGTGACCCCTCTCCCTTTCCTTTTAAGAGGTCATGTATGACAGCAAAAAGCACCATCTCCTTTGGGTGGGCTGTATAGCCCAAGGTCATGGGAGGATCAAAACCACTGCACTGGGCAATCTTCAGTTAGTTTCTTACCCACTCTGAACACATTTCTTCTTTCCTAGCATGGCGGACATGATAGTACCTACTGCTGGGAGTGCTACCTTCTGGGTAGTGTGATACAATGTCAGGAAACTGTATAATAAAAGCCTCTCAGTGTTAGCTACTTCAATCATGCTTTTAAAACCCCTCCTTTGGTCAATAGCTAAATTCAACTGTCAGCTTGATAGGATCTAGACTCTCTGTGGAGACAAAACTCTGGGCATTTCTGTGAGGGGTTTTTTAGCTTGAGCTGAGTAAGTAGGAAGGCCCACCCTAGCTGTGGGTGACACCATCCCATGGGCTGGAGTCTTGGATTGAAGAAAGGCGAAAGAGAGCTGAGCACCAGCATTCCTTTCTTCCTGATGGATATAATGTGACCAGCTGCC